GCTGTGTTTATTGGTGACCCATTGATCTCTATATTTCCTTTTCAGTACATTTGTATGTCCAACTGAAATCATCTCGTTCAGTGACCGTGTTGCAGACTTCCGTAGCATCAACTGTGAGGTGCTTGCCTGCTCTACAGACAGTGTCTTCTCACATTTAGCATGGTAAAATATGAAACATTTTAATATGGTATTAATGCGCACAAACAACCCCCCTACTAGGACTGAGCCAGGCACTGACCCAGATATGCTGAGGATTACATGTGGCACATTACCGGACTGGCAAAAAAAAAACACAACTAAAAAAACATGTGCACATCTTATTTACACAATTTTTAGTACATTTTACCCGAATTAAATGAATAATAGAAAACTAGCTGGCAAGTGGTGCTAAGCTAAATGACACTGCAAAGGTCTGGAAAAAAAAAATTAATGCAACCTACTTTGATTATGACCATGGCACTTTCTCTTTACAATATTTCATTTCGCACACTGACTGGTTGATACTGAGTAGTCTAAGATATAGTGTGCGTGCATGTGGTTAGTGTGGAATATGTTCATGTGTGATGATTTTTTAAAGTTATATCATAGAATTAAATAATAATTTAAAACATATTTACTAAGCAGGGCTTGCAAGGTCTTTGAAGGTTTGGGGAAACTATTTAAAAAATAGGGCCTGGAAAGTTCAGGAAAATTGACTTAAAAAGTCAGTCCTTGAAAGTTTGAGAAATGATTTAAAATAAATTCATAGGGTACGAAAAAAACTTGTTCCCATTCAACTGAAATGTGCCGTGAAAACTGCTACCAATCTAATCAGCGACCAGCAATTCTAAGGCATATGGAAAGAGAGGATCAGCTCCATTTTATTTTTGTTAGGTTCATAGATTAGGGCAATGATTCTCAACCCATGGGTCACGACACCCTCGGGTCGCCTGACAAAATGTCATGTATATCTTAGAATTTTAAAAACTAAAGGTATTTTTGTGTGTAAAATTTGAAATATTCTTATTTGAAATTTTGATTAAAAATTGTAATATTCATTTATCGGACTAGTTTTTTATTGTCACTATACTGTCGACACTATAACTACATAAAATAATTTTTTTTTAACTGTTTCATTCATTAGTTGTCAACAGCTAATGTCATACAAATTTTTTAGGCAGTTTCTTTTCATTAAAAAAAGATTATATTTAATTTATATATGATTTCAATTTTTTAATATTTTTTGTTGTTGTCAAAATAGCTTTTAAAGTTGGCAGCTTCCACGCTAAACTAAATCATGTGTGAATTCATCTAATTTTCTGGATATTGATTTACAGAGCCCCCTCTTCAGAACCATTATTTAGCCCCTATTTCTGCTTCCCTCCACCCCCAATCAAAATAAAAGTACCAACAATTTTCTATTACACAAAAATCTCTGCCCCTCCCTGCTTCTCAACCTGCATACAATAGTATAAGGGGTTAAGGGAACTTTATAAAATCAAGATATTCATTGCTATTAAGATTATCTACTTATTTGATAAAACTCATATTTTAAAGAAAATTATAGGATTATTTAAATAAATTATTTATATCTTGTGGAAAATTATGCTACAAATTCTAGAAATTGAATTAACTGCGTTCATTTGCATTTTTATTGTGTGTATTTAAAATATTAATTTTTTATAGGATCAATACACCCCGCAAACAAGGTGGCCTTGGTCCAATGAACATCCCCCTTATTGCCGACAAGAATGCTGAAATCTCTAAGAAATATGGCTGCCTGAAGGCAGATGAAGGCATTGCTTTTCGGTAAACATAAATACTAGAGATCTGTAAATGGCAGTCATTTTCATTAATAATTAATTTTTTTTATGTATTAATTGTGTCTTAACTGATGCATGTTTAAAAAAATCAAGTTAATATTGAGTATAATAAGTGGAAGAATTCGATCAGGCTAGGTAATAGAAAATGTAAAACAATGGGGAAAATGATGAAACAAAATATTGGCCGTGTCTGCAAAAAGCCATATTCAGCTAACAAAAATATTACAAAAAAATAATTTAAAAAAAAATCAAATAAAAAAAAAAAAAAAACATTTAAAAAAAATCTTTTTTTGAAATTTTTTTTTTTATTTTTTTTTTTTTTTTTCAGCTAACAAAAATATTAAAAAAAAATAATTTAAAAAAAAATCAAATAAAAAAAAAAAAAAAACATTTAAAAAAAATCTTTTCTTGAAACTTTTTTGCAGACTATGTTTTTTTCTTCACTCCCTGTCGTATGTTTCATATTTCTCATTGTGAAGTTCTTAAACACAAATACTTTTAGAAATTTGTTACTCTATTATTTATTTAGAGTGCTTTGTAAACTAAATGAAGTTAGAAATAATCCTGAAATTCAACTACAAACCCTATTGTGCATATTTTAATAATTTAGATTTGTAGACACTTGAGAATAAATCTGATCTAGCTAATTTAACACATGAAATCTAAAATGTCACTTCTTTTCCAAAGATTTAGGCACTAATTAAGCAATAACTCTTCAATTATCCAGGGGTCTATACATTATTGACGATAAGGGCAACCTTAGACAAATTACAATCAATGACCTTCCTGTTGGCCGATCTGTGGATGAAACATTGCGCCTGGTCCAAGCTTTTCAATTTACTGACAAACATGGTGAAGGTGAGCAAATTTTAGCAAATTTTGTTTGTTTGCAAAGTAACAAATTCACAATGCCATTTGCAACCATGGGGTATAACTGGTAGTTTTATGTCAAACTATACAGAAAACTACTATCTCGTCATTGAATTTTTAAAAAATGTATTAAACTTCAGATGTGAATTACTCATGGATATTTTAATTCATCTACTAAGATCTCTTATATCACAAAGATGTCTATCTTGCCAATGAAATTATATATAAAGTACAGTAATACCTAGTCTATCGCTGATGAAATTTCCACAGTCTCACTGTATCGCAGATTTTTTACTTGTATATATCTTATTTTGTATTGGGGTTCTGTAACCTAACACACAAACACCACCTCCAGATCAGAGATAATTGCATATAGATATTTTAATAAAATACTTCTGAATATTTAGTTGTGAAAATTTGCTGTTCTAAAACTGTTTTAAAATATAAATTTCTTTTTTTTTTTTAAATGTTCCAGTGTGCCCAGCAGGTTGGAAGCCAGGAAGTGAAACGCTCAAACCAAATGCAAAGGGCATCAGTGAATACCTCAGCAAACACTAAGATACAAGAATAAATATATCATCCATTTAACTATAGAGATTGTTTGTAAACAAATGCCTTTATTCTCACAGTATTTTTTACCATCCCCCAAAAATAGTTGATGTATCTCTTTGAAAGCATTTAGAGGATTTATTATGACAGGTTGGTTTTTTTTTTTTTACTATGTTTATCAATTAATGTAATACAACAAATTAACACCAGTAGTTTATTTTTTATTTTCATGCACAGCTTGCGCTTGTATAAATAGAAAAATAGATAGGTTTAAATTAATGTAATTGGGCTTTTGTTGACTACTTTGAGTGTAGACCATGTCAAATCTTTGGAAAAATGTTCATTTCTCAAACAATTCACCTGTAATTTGTTATGAAGCACTACAATAAATTTAATGTTTCTAAATTTTTTCATGTCCTGTTTGTTTTTAAAACATTGATGATGAAATATTTTTCATGTGGTCATTGTTTTTAGAAAATAAATTTTGATTTGGTTTCTAGCATCAATTCAACTGTGCTTAGATTTCTGGTTATTGGTGTCTGCTGGGTGGCTAAGCCGTATAAACTGAATCAATTCCAAGCTTGTGGACTGTAAGTTCAATCCCCAGCAAAAGCCTGGACAAGCAAAATAATACCAGAGTGCCTTGGGTCATGGGACTCTTGAGTGCCTCGGGTCATGGGACTCTTGAGTGCCTCGGGTCATGGGACTCTGTTAACCTTGATTGTCAACTCATTTGAGAGAAGGCAAACTCTGAAATCAGACCCGGAGAAGGCAGTATGACATTTATACAATGAAATTTGCCACCGCTTCTGCAAAGAACATGTAAAGAGCACAGTGAAATGCACAAAAAAAAACCACTGCTGGTCTATTTCCAGTTGTCTTGACAGAGTCTTGCCTATTTGGATCAAATATTAAGTGCTTCTCCCTCACTTTAAACAAAATACAAGTCAAGGCTACTACTCAAGTTGAATATTAGATATTGCCATAGTCATCTTGGCATGTGAAGGAGGAAAAATAAGTGTTAAAGTCAAGTTGGTATTTGTAATTGATAAATTTTGTTGAAGCTTCATTCATCATATGTTTAAATTTTGGCAATGGGGGGAAAAGATGGTGACCTCAAAGCCATGGGATGCATATATATTCCAACATTCCAAATTTAAGTATATTTTATTGCTCAGTTTCTTCAAAAAAAAATTATTTTTAATTTTTCAAAAAAAAAAAAAAAATTATATTTTTGTAACCAGACCATAAAAATATCATAATTTTAAAAGCAGAT